AACAATCCTCCTACTTCGTGGCCCATTCATCCACTCCAGCTGCCCACAGCACAGATATCATCGTTCTAATCAGAGGGAAAGACGAACTGAAGTCATCTGAACCATAATTAGGCTGCGAATCTCTGGAAATCGTCCCCTGGCAAATCAAAAATCTTGCTGATTATTCCACATACGTGTGTGGGTAGACAATAAAGAAAATCCCATTAATTACATTTACATTCTTAATTACACTTTGTTTTGTTGCTGCTCATTAAAGCCTCAGTTTGGTTCCAGTTAACAATAATCAAAATGCTTCTGTATTCTGTAGCACAAACATTCAATTCTTTCTGCACACATAAAATATTTTCAGCTTTTAAACAATGGATATTTGCATTTGGGAGTTAAAGAGAAAAGACTGATTAAAAACAGAAGCGTGCACTTTGTCACAACGAGGTAATAGCAGACAGTTTGTGCATCATAAAGTAGAACAACTGTGTGATTCTGTTTTTATATGCAATGGATTTTTCATTTTCATACTGCTTTCTGTTTTGTGAATGTTTTTTTTTGGTCTTTTTCTTCTTTAAAGTAAAAGTTTAATAACTGTTCAAAATAGATTCATTGTAATGGGAATGGAAATAGTTCCATAAATGTGTCTGTAAATTAGTTTTAATGTGTTAAAGCACAGATTTATGTCAACCTTACATGAGACATAACGGTCATAATGTCTTTTAGGTTCCAGCTCTGCAAGAAACAACATAAAAACAAGGTTTATTTTGGTCTGATAAAGTTATGTATATTCGTAAAGGAACTTTATCATTTGACAAAGCAGAGCAGAGAGGGCTTATGGGTGCTGTTGATATGACGAAATAAATATAATCAGTAGTTCAACACGTTTCCTAAAGGAACCAAAAATGGATTATCACTGAACAAAAACCTAAACACGGCATGTAAAAAAGATTTTTGGCATTCTTTTTAATGTATAGGGGACTAAGTATTTACAATACTTACAACATCTCTTTAACATAACACTTAACAGGCAGATCAAGAGTGGAGTCATCGACCAGAAATCACAAGACAGGATCTAATCAATCGAGTTAATCAGGCTGTCGATGCCGCTTGTCAAATGTGTTCTCACTTTCCTGATGGACTTGAAGAAGTCGGTGGATATTTTATTTCTTTGACTACAAGTGGTTTAAGAGCCTGATTGTGGCTCTCACTGACATGCCAGCGTCCAGCAACCCCACAGTCTGTTCTCATCTTTCTCTTGTTGTCTGTGGCATTGACTCATCTGAATAAATCTGCATTTTAAAATGGCCTTTTATAGTCACTGGTCAAAGGAGAGTCTGTGTGCTGGTCACACTATCTGATCATGGTCCTAGAAAGCCACATCTCACTGGAGCGTTTGTGAACTCAGTGGTTGAGAATTAGTCACCACCAGTTAGAATAGAAATTAGATTGTTAACTTTTTCTCCAAGTCAGAAAAGAAGACCATTTGCGTAAAACCCAAAGGACAGTGAAACAGAACACCTGATGCTAGTGTGGCTATTAGATTCAGTATTTTATCCCAGTCCAGTACGCAGATATGTAAACAAGTACCTCCAAACCAATACCACAAGGTTATCGCAGACGTTATACATCCAAACCATGAGGAGAGGCCTGCTGGAGGGTCGCTCACGTTAAATCACAGCCTTTGCTTTTAGCAGCTTGAACATGCATCCATCCATTATCGATACAACACTTAATCCTCACGAGGGTCACAGGGGGGCTGGAGTCTATCCCAGCTGACTTAGGGTGAAGGCAGGAGACACCCTGGACAGGTCGCCAGTCTATCACAGGGCTACACTTAGAGACAGACAACCAAGCACACTCACATTCACACCTACAGACAATTTAGAATCACCAATTAACCTCAACATGTTTTTGGACTTCGTGGGAGGAAGCTGGAGAACCCGGAGAGAACCCATGCTGCACGGGTCCTCACCAGGACGTGAACCGGTGACCTTCTACCTGCGAGGCAACGATGCTAACAGTGGAACAGTTTTTTTAATATTTTGCCAATTCCAAGTTGCATCGCCTGGATTGGAAGGTCAGCCTGGGTGCTGCTCCAATCAGGATCCTCTGAGGTAGGACAAGACTCCTGGAATGGGGGGGGCCTTAGTAGCAGTAGCTAATCATGTGCAGGAATCCAAACATCTGATTCTGCATATATGTCAACTACCGAGGAAGATTAGTCGCTTGGTATTCCAGCACAGCCAAACCATGGTCAGGTGTTAAATCACTGCTGTGTAGAATCGTCGGTTGCGCCTCATTATCGCTCTGGTATGTTTGTATTTCTTGACACCAATTACAATAGTTTTGGGCAAGATTCAGCAAAAAAAAAGAGTGAGGATCGGATTGTTCTGCTGGAATATTTGCATGTAGAGAGGTAAGTCCTGTCTTTAATATGGCTGCCTTAATTCAAGATCCACATCCTCTGCAAAACTTCAGCTTCTCCTTGTGGTCGGTTGCTGCTTCTCGTTGTTTACCGCAGGGACATTTTGAAAACCTTAATCAGTAGATAGCAAAAAGGGAGGGGAAAGCTGTGAGAAATGTGTGGTCAGTTGCAGGCTTATACCCGTAGTCTACACCCAGTGAGTCAGACTAGTCAGTAGATGCACAAGCTGTAGCTGTGACAGTGTTCACGACCTGCTCAGAACCAAAGATTTAGCAGTGAAATGGTCAAACATGTCTCCCAGGAGGTGGCAGAGACCATCACTGAGCTAAAAGAGTGTGAACACGTGACTTGAATTCATCACATGGCTCCACATGGATGGTAATGTTGCTCCGTGGTAGCTGCTGGATGTGTGGATAACCAACTGTTAACAGCTTGGCCGTATCCACACTTCTTCTTTCTGTTGCCCCCAGGTGACCAAACAAGCTGCAGATTTGAATAATTCCAAGGCTACTCCTGATTCTTTTGAGAGCTTCTGTTTTTGTTAAAATGTAATTAGACTTTCATTTACAGGGAAGGGAATTAGTCCAGCACTCACTGCAGCTCTGCCTCTGACTGTGACTCTCTGCTGATTGCAGACTTTTATTCGCTTTACTGCACTGTTCACATATTGGAGAAGAGGAGAAACACTGAACTCGGTCTTAAACAGACTGTCCTCATTCATCATTCCATGATACATACATCTTCTTAATCATATGTTGTTATTGCAGCCAAAAGATGGAAGTCACCCAATATTCTTTCCTTTTCTACTAAGTGGCCTTTTCCTCTAAATACCACTAGGTGGCAGCACATCGCGTCTCTTCACTGAGTAGAACTATTGAGCAGCAAAGTTGAATGAGAACTGCAGTTGTGGAGACGTCAAGTTAGCAGGAGACACGCAGGAAAACACCTACAAATCAGGCAGTAATTGACCTTAGAAATAAAAGCATAAATTGTTCCACAGTGGGTAATAACAGCACGCGTGAAGTAAATCTGAGGCTAAAAAATAGGTTTCCTGAACCTGATTGAACTATCAGAGTATTTTACAGAGAATAGACGACAGCTGCTGGGTTCTCTGGGACTCATTGCACTGCTGGTTATCTATTTATTAACTCGACACATAAACACATGAACATAAAGTAACAAAAAATATGTTAAGTAAAGGTACAATACTTGTATTATTTTAAATTCTGAATGAGGCATTATTCATCCAAAACTCCAGGGGGCCTGAAAAATCCAGGCTTTTGTTGAGGTTTGGGCTAAATTAATCATTAAAACTGTGCCTGGGTCGTGCACCTTAATCAGAATAACACAAGTGGCACTGACAGATAGCTGAATTGGGGGTTGAAATGGGCCCAGCAGGATATTTCTGCCCCCAGCACTTGTGAAATGTCGGGATCGTATTGTTGGACACGTCCATCCAGAGTATCGTCGAACGATTATGTTTGAATTGATTTCTTAGATTACAAAAGTTGTGAACAATCAAGTGTCAGCTGACCTGCCAGCATCCAGCATTGTGTCATTTGCTTATATTCGCTAGTCAAAGTCGTGTCTTTGTGCTGGTCACGCTGTCTGATCACTGCCCTTTAAAGCTATGTCTGACTAGGACATAAGTGGTTAAAAATTTGTCACCAGTTCAATAACTTCTTGTCTACATTTTAACTCTTTTCTAACCACAACAGAAATGAGACTTTTGACTTTTTCTCCGAGTCAGAATAAAAGACAGTTTTCATGTTGTGTTTATATTCTTGTTTATTGTAATTCATTCATCCGTTATATATATTCTTCAAGCATCATTTGACATTTTTCAATTTTTATTTGTTGTACATTTAACTTTATTGTCATTGCACAAGTACTAAGACAACAAAATTCAGTTTGGCATCCAACCAGAAGCAGCTGTAAAGAGTATTATTTACAGTTTGTTACAGTATAAACAGAATTAACAGTATGGACAGAGTGGCATGAACACACTTAGACATGAATATATAGAAACATGTACGGAAGAGGATTAGGGCCACTGAAGAAAAAAATAATAAAATTCTGAGATTAAAGTCAGAATTCTGACTTTTTTCCAGAACATTAAAAAAAAAATGAAATAAAATAAAAAAATAAAAAATCCAGGAATTTTATTTTTCAATTTCTGGAAAAAAAAAAGGTCAGAATTCTGACTGTTTTCTCAGAATTTTATCATTTTTTTCTTCAGTGGCCCTAATCCTCTTCCGTATATATGGATACAACATAAAATAGAACAATCTACAAGTTCAACATTACTTGTCATGTTTTCAATTATTTAATTGCTCTCCTCACAGGTAACAAGACTCACAGGTGGTGCTCTTACTTTGAAATATGACCGGATGCGGAGTGTCGGACTGCGGTGGTGTTGACAGGTGTCCGGGCAGCAGGCTGTCAGTCGCAGTCTGGCTCTCTCCACTTTGCTCGCATCATCCAGGCGGTGAGCTATGTGACAGCGTGGCTGCTGCTGCTGCTGTATCCCGGACCCCCCCCCTCCTCCTCCTCCCGCGTCCCGGTCTCCCCACAGTCCGGCAGGATGATGGATCACAGGAGGACTGAACCGGACCTCAACACCGGCATCAGCCCGGTCACGCTGTACGGGGAATTCACGCTCACGAGTAACCGAAAAGTCAGGTGTTCCGTGAACCTGACGGAGAGGGACCTGGTCGTCCAGCGGCTCACGTCGGCACCTGTCGGGCGGAGCAAGGCGGCGTTCAGCCTGAAGGACTGCGTCGGCTGCCGGGCTTACCGGGAGGATGACAACGCGGACCCGGCGGCGTACCTGGCCGCCTACTTCTACCCGCTGCGCCGGCGCTGGATGAGTTCCGGGGTCTCGCGGCAGAGAGTGGAGCAGTGCTTTCGGCTCGCGGCGCTCCAGGACCCGCGCGCCAACCTGGAGGAGGCGGAGAAGTGGGCTCGCGCCGTCCGAGAACGCGCTGCCCGGCAACAGCAGCTTAGAGACGGTGAGTGTTCGTTAGCAACGGGCAGGTGAACTTCACACAGGTGTGAGCAACAGGACCCCGCTGCAGCTACACTCAGTTCTGTGAAAGTGTGCTTTATTAAGGGGGCAACAGGAGTTTACACAGTCAACACTCAGTCTGTTCAAGAAGTGAAAATGAGAAAAAGAAACGTCGCTTCAAGTCATTCTTGGAGAGAGAAATGAGCTGGTGTTTCCTGTCAACCTCCAGGTTCAGCCTCTCGGTCTGCTGGCAGGCTGTTCGGTAGCTTCATCACTAAAATGCACCATATAAGCACAAAACTGAAATATTTAAGGGTAAGCTCGAACCTGACCTGTGGCTCCTCGACACAGGATGCAGCAAGATGATGCAGGTGTTGACCTAAAGCCCCCAGAAAAACAAAGAAATAAAACTAGAAGGGAGAAAAAAATAAACAAAAATAAAGCTTGCTCATTGGGAGTCCTTGGATTTGTTGTGTTTTTATGTATATTTTGGTAGGGTTGTAAGTTTAGTTCCAAATTAATCAGGATAACCTGCATAAATAACAATATAATAGGCTTTTAGCCTTAAGTTACTTTGGTAAACCTGCATGATTACCGAGACTCTGGGTCTTAGCCTTAATATTCAGATTACTCAGGTTAATCTCCATTATTATTGATGTTGTAGGACCTTAGCCTTAATATTAAAGTTAGTTTGGCTAATCTTCATAATTAATAATACAGTTGGGTCTTAGTGGTAATATTTAAATTACTCAAGTTATTGTTCATAAAATAACAGAAATAGTTAGGTTAATCTTCATGACTATTAATACTGCGAGGCCTCAGCCTTCATATTCAAAACAGTCAGGTAAAGTAGTATTTTATCTGATTTTAAATGGTTAATATTTAAATTACTCTGGTAAAATTATATAATACATAACCCTGCTGGTTCATAACCTTAAAATGGTAACTTATGAGATTAATTTATAATGTCAGTCTTATTTTTCTACTGGAAAGCGTTCAACAGCTGTTGATTTAAACATACTATGTAGATAACAGTGCCTTGTCTTGAGTATTAGTTGAGTGTAATGGTAAATAATGGTATTTGTAGTAACAAACTTCTTTTTTTTTTTTTTTTGATCAGGCTAATCTCCTGATTATTTTCTCAATCATTCAAATCCTACGTTTTGGTCTGTAAATTGTCAGAAAACAGTTCAAAACCCACAAAGATTTGCAGTCCACTGTCACTTATGATGAAGAAAATGTGCCCAACTTCGTAAACGAGAGAATGGAAAATGAAATGATTGGCTTTTTAGAAAGTTCTGAATCTGAGTAGTTGATTATCCTGTTCCATTCATGTTACTTTTCCATGAGGGAGAAAACTGACCCTCACAACTATCACATGTTTCCAGAATATTATTACATGAGCATCTAATATTAAGAAAGTGACTTACTTTATATTACACTTTTCAAAACAGCAGTTTCAAGTGATTCATTATAAAATGCACAACAGCATGAAAACCACAAGTAAAAGTCCTGTTAAAAAGTGATGAAACACAAAGTCAGGTCTATTTTTATTCTCTTCCCGTTAGAGTATTACTTTCATTGTTACGTGGCTGTTAAAGACGATTAACATTTAATTAGTTGTTTCTGTTTTAGCTGCGTTTTTTAAAAATCTGTTTCAACTTCATAAATTCGAAGGTGTTGTCGATTGCACTCAGTGTTTGTAATAATGCTAACCACACAGGTTGGCATGCAGGGCTTTCCAGGTTCAGTCTTGTATCATTTCATTCTGCCCTACAGCTTTTAATTAACTAAAAGTCTCCTTATTTTCTCTACACGACTGCTTCTTGCCACTTTATCATCTCTGCCTCTGTTACCTTTAACCTACTGCTTAATGAATAAAACAACAGGACGGTTCTGAGGCAGAGTCACATTTCAGTACCTCTCGAATTCAAACTCCCAGTTTTAATATGTAAGAAACCTGAAAATCATTGTCAGAGGTGTATCCTGTTCAGACTTTTGTGTCTTATCAGCTCTGGTTTACCTTTACCTTCTGCCTACGCCTTACAATAATTAAACATTAGCTCTGGTCTGGTATGGAGAGTCACGTTTCAGTAACTCCAGTCTGCAAACAAACCTATTTAACATAAAGGACACCTGAGAGCTACGGGGGCAGTATCACTACTTCGACTTCATGTAATGCCAAGAGGTATAATTACTCCAGTGGGACGCGTTCTGTAATTGGAGATTTCTGAAGAGAAATTATCTCATTATTTGTCCTCCTCACCAAGCTTTCCTGATTCATGAATAACTTTCTTTTTCAAATTTCTGCCGCACACAAAGTTTTTTTTCTTCCACACAGCCGTAGTATCGCTGGCACACTGTGACCCAGTTAGCATTTTCCCATTTGCACAAATGTATTTTTAACGAGACAAAATATGCTGCAATTCTGTTACTGCCTGTGATTGTCAGAAGGGGAAAGAGCTGACTTTTAGTAACTCTAGACAGTATTGTCTGCTTTGAAACGTATTGTGATTCGACTGCCTGCAAGCGTAACCCGAGACAGTGACTGAACAAGTCCGATGCCCTGGGACACAGACCCAAACACAAATGCGTCCACTGCTTCACCTGCTCTACTCCAATTCTCCCATCATTGGTTTATTCAAATTGTAATCTGTGCAAAATTATCCAAACTTTATTGGTTCCACACATTGAAATGTGAAGATTGGCTTTTTTTTTTTTTAAATTCTAACTAGGTCATTCTGTTTGGGTTTAGGTTGAACAAAACAATGATGATGTTACGTTGGACTGTAGGAACTTTTGGGGTTTGTTTAATTGGATTAATCAAAAAAATCAATCATTAATGAATATAGTCATTAGTTACGAAAATGAATGAATGAGTCATGCTAAGTAGCGTTGGTCATAAAGTCATTGATCAAGGTTTTTATCTTTATTGGGACTGTGCAAACACTGTGAGGGACTCAAACAGAACCACAAGTTCTGGGGCTGCCTATATTTCCACTTCTGTGCTACCTGCCTCGGTGTTACATTTCTGAGCATTTTCATGGTCACTGCCGTTAATTTCAAACCTCATTGAGGCTGCAGGGGTTTTTTGGTATCTCTGGAATGTGGTGATATGATTTCAGCGTAAAAGAAAGTCTGGCGTTAGTTACTCATTATGCCGGAGGCCTTGTGAACCGTACTAAATCATGTTCAGGGGCTCTGCATCCGAACCATTAGTCCAAATGAGGTCAGTGCAGCCTGCGTGACCTCGTCATCAATACTGGCGCTTGTGTCACTGGTTTCGCTCCTGTGTTATTGGAAAAGGCATCTGTTTTATGCGGATCTATTTTCGTGTCGGCACATGCTGAAGCTGTAATGTAACTCCACATCTGGATTTAAACACTGCCTGAGAGAATTACAACAGTGTTGGATTGGTGCCATATACTGTTTATTCTTGCTAAAGGCTCGTTATCCAAGACTGATCAACCACATCCTTCTGAGTGTTTGGTCTGCTCAGCTATATGACAGACAAACAGATGCTAAGCGTGGTTGACGTGCTCAGGATGCTGGTCAGGGCATCAATACTAGTTTGCATGATAATGATCATTTATCCAAACATCTGTTAAAGCCATGACACAACAAGCTGTTGTTTTGCAGTGTAAGTAAACATTTTACAGCGCTGCTATTGTAATTCCAAATAGACTGTTTTCATCAGTATTGGTGTGAAAATGGTTAGTTTGCTTCATTTGACTTTCTAAAATGTTTTTTGGCCTGCTGGATGGCAGACTGGATATTTCCTTGCAGGGAGAGGAAGTGCAGAAAATACTACATGTCACGTCAGCCCGCGGTTAGCGCTGCGGTGTGTTCATGGGAAAGTTTCAGAAGAAGGCAACGAGGTGTCATGAGGTGACAGATGTGTCAGTCAACTGCACTTCTAGGCTGTTGAGGTGTGTCGGGCCGTTGACTCAAGTTCCCCATAAATTCATCCCTGGCGGTTACAGCTGACAGCTCAGAGGCATTGGCAGTTTTTTTTTTTTTAATAAATAGTATTGATCCTAGGCTGTCAATAAACAGGTTAAATCAATCTGTGGACAGCATTATCATTATCAGGAGTGAGGCGACGACAGCAGGCAGAGAGGTTACGAGTATTGATCAGGACGGTCACAGTTGATTATTATCTGGCTTGAGCACTTAACTCCTGTTATCCAGTGACAAGGAATTTCAGCATATTACCAGTAAATGGGAATCAATTCGTCAAGGGTTAGAATATATCTGATGACAAAACACCTTCAAGATACAGGATCACTGGTATTATGGTCCTTATTCATTTTCTAAGACTGTTCGCTTTAAGAATAGACACTGTGTAAAAATACCACATCGGGTGTTTCATCACACTCATGTGTAGCCACAGCGACATGCTTAGTCGATACTAGACAGTCTAATAGGTGTCAGTATGATCAGCATTATTACACAAGGAATCCCAAGTCATCTGTGACACAGAATGTTAGTGTAGGAGCCACACAAATGTCCAGAGATGTCACACTGACAATAAAATTGTTTACTTGACACAAACACTCATCCCATTTGAGCTTGACACATTTTTTCAACAAGATTTGACGTCTAAGTTCACTGTACTTAGATTTATAAAGCTGATACAGCCTAATATGTTTAAGTTCAATTCAAATGTTATACATTGTGCACGGAGCATTGAATATAATCGTCTGTTGGACTCAAAATATGGGCTAAAATAAATGCTTTGTGTTCACTTTGCACAAAACAAGATATGCTGTGTTATGTTAAAACACGGGCTGCAAGGTGGAGCAGTGGTTAGCACCGTTGCCTCGCAGCTAGAAGGTCGCCGGTTCGTGTCCTGGTGAGGACACCCGGGATCTTTCTGCGTGGAGTTTGCATGTTCTCCCCGTGCAGCGTGGGTTCTCTCCGGGTTCTCCAGCTTCCTCCCACAGTCCAGAAACATGCTGAGGTCTAAATTGACCATAGGTGTGAATATGTGCTTGGTTGTCT